ATCCACAATTCCTCGTTTTTTTGTACTTTTTCAATTATTTCATCCTTATTTTGTAGGCAAACCTTACGTGATAGATAAAAACAAATGTAATTTTTTGAAATTAACGCAAAAAACTACATAAAGATCAGTTGACGAAATCAAAATAATTTTCCAAAAAGTTTTTTTGCAAACCCGTGTAATTTATCGCAAGAATTTAATATAGTTTTCTCGAAAAAAAAAACAGCTACTTTCATAATTATAGTGAGTTTCAGAAAGTTCGCACCATATGGGAAACTTTATTATTACCCATTTATTCCTGATAAAAATTGGTTCATTTCGGAAAACTTGGATTTGGGTTGTCAAAATTCTGAATTCCTGAACGGTGTACAGGGGAGAGCAAAAACTAGAAATTTTGATCAAGGGTAAAGTACCCTTCTTTTCGACATTATTGAATGATATCATTTCAAAAAGTTGTTTAGATTTGTTGTTGCTATGATTTGAAATCATAACCACCTACGTAACAAAACACAAAAAATCCATTTCTCTATGGTTCTGACCTCATAAAGAGTACTAGTATCTCAAATACACCTTAGGTATGTACCTCCCTCATATTTCTATAATGATATTTCGATGCGAATTTCAGCCCAATTCATTATTCGAACTAGTATATCGATATTTTTTGAAAATAGTTTGAAATTTTACTAGTTTTTTGGTGCAAAATTGACATTTTACTATATATTTCTGTACAGAATAACTATCAGTATGATTTAATGGCAAAAATAATTTAATGAATCAATTAATGTTGAACAATTGAGTAATACAAATCCGTTAGTTTACTATCACTTCAATTATAATGTTACCTTAAAATGATATTACTAATTTACATATCTATTAAACATAAATAAAAACCAAATTACGAAAACTTTCAAAAACCTGAATAATCGATCACAAAATCCTTAAATTTCCACATGTCTTCTTTCCATCGCTTCTTCATTGACATTTTCTAAAATAGATTTCGGTACAACACTGCCTAATAACATTTTTCAATTCAATGATATTTCGAAATGGTTTTTCAGCATCCACTTTTTCCTTAGAAAAAGTATTTTTTTTAACAAAAGTTTGTACCTATTAGTACAGTACATATTAACGTTTATCGTATTTGAAATAGGAATAATTTTATATTTCACATTGAAAATTTGTCTATGAATTGCTAAAATCACATAACCTTTGACTTTTTGACATTTTAAGAAGTAAACAAGTTTGCGTTTTTAACTGTGCATCGTGAAATTTATTACCTAATTAGAGATTTGTCCCTATAAATGTATTCACAATGCTGAGTGCAAATGACAAAATTGATATAATTGTAATTCATGGAGAAATAGAAAAACAGCAGATATACTCAATCTGTGTATCATTGAATCATACTGATAGTTATTATGGACATACACCAATTAAAACTAGTAAAAATTCAAATCATTTTCAACAAACATCGATATACTAGTTCAAATAATGGATTGGACTGGATTTCGCATTGAAATATCATTATAGTGATATGAGAAAGGCGCCTGAGGTATATATGAGATACTAGTACTCTTTATGAGGCTAGAACAATAAAAATAATTGTTTTTTTTTTGTTTTGTTACGAAGGTGGCTGTGATTTCAAATCTGAATATTGTTTTCAAATTCAAACAACTTTTCCGAATGAACTTTTTTAATAATGTCGATAATAAGGGTAGTTTACGACTGAACAAAATTTCTATTTTTTGTTCTCCCCTGTATATCGTTTTGAAATTTGAAATTTTGAAAACTCAAATCCAAGTTTTCCGCAGTGTACACATTTTTATCAAGAATAAAATTTTTCGACAAATGGATAATAAAAAAGTTTCCCATATGGTGCAAACTTTTTGAAACTCACTGTACATTGAATTGTTCGAAAGAAAAATACAAATACTTTTATATGAACACTGAGTCATACAAAAAACATTTTTTCCTATTCAGTTTGTATTCCAAACATTCCTTATGGACTTGAATCAGATATCATTCACAGGATTCTTACAGAATATACTAAATGAAAGAGTGAAAATTTCACTTACATGGAACAGTGTCATCCTCACTGATTTCAAACATGAGATAACTGAGAGTAGATAATCCTTTTTTTCTGCTCAACTGTTTGTTTTACTGTTAGAAATCATAAATATTGCATTACTTTTTTTTTGTGAGATTTTCGCTTAACATTTTTCAAAACCACGACAAGTATTTTAAATGACAATAATTTGTTTTCTTCACAAATTAGATCTTGATATTTTCCATTGATGGTATATTTCCTCAATTTCATCCCATTTTTGTCATTATTTTTCCATTAACCAACTTACCCGAATAAATCGGTTCCAACATTTTCAGTATAATTTTTAATATTCCATTCATTGTAATTTCATTTTTTCCATAGATTTCAAATCTGTTAATACAATTTCAGAAAATAAAAGCCCGAATATATAATATTCACCGAGAAACAAACTGAACTTTTTATCAAAACAGTTCATGTGGTATGCTAATCTGAGGTTTTCGTTTAGGTAGTTTCGTTTCGTTCAGGTGTACTGAGTTGGACCTCTAAATGATAAGCAGCCACACTCCGTCGCGTATTTCTTATATGTACCACTCTTGGTGAAATCAAATGTACCAAGTCAATCGAACACCTTTCGTGAGAGAAACAAAAAATCTTACTTTTCTTCGATGCTCCAGACTTTCGAAGTTGCAAGTGATGTTCGTGTCTCCAACCAGGTGGATGACTCTTTTCTGGAAGGAATCCGGCAGCTTCAGGGTATGCTTAGGGGTGGAGCTCCATACTTGAGAACAATACTCCAAAGAATTCTGATCTGAGGTATATAAAGCACCAAAAGATCCTAGGTTTTGTGAAGTTTTCTAGTTTGGAACAGAGATCATTTTAACCTTCAACAAACTTATCTGAACTTTTGAGAAGAACAGCTTTGCAATTCCAGCAACATGATTGGGACAAGATATACTGGTGTCTATTTTAACTTCCAACAAACTTATCGGAACTTTTGATAAGCAGCGTTTGCTTTTCCAGCGACATGATTCTGACAAGACATACTGGTGTCCATATTTTTACCCCTAACAAACTTATCGAAGCAGAAATCGGAATTGTTTGACCCGACATTATTATATCTGGTTCGCAAACATTTATCTTTTTGGAGAAAACCGATGCCTGGGTTTTCTTTCTGCTCTGTATTTTCCATTGAGAGATTTATGATAAATACCAAAGAAAAGTGAAATATTGAATTTTTTTATTGATATGTGAGCATTTTCAATACACCTGAGATGTAATTTTCAAAATACTCATCTTGTTTTAAAAATTGCATATATAACAAATTTCACAATTTTGAAAATAATCAATAATTAACTGTGGGTAGATTTGAGGTCATCCATACAATGAATATCCCTGAAAACCAATGAAAAAGATTTTCTTGTCACTACAATGAGGGAGTCATACCTGGCCAATATTATTCTAATGGAAACCAGAACTCATCCATTAAAAATCTGTGATATATCTTTGCTAGTTTTCATTTCAAGAATTTGTAGTATCCAATATGAAAATGTGAAATTGTTAGGGAAGTTGCATATCAAATGGAAAAATTCCATTCTTTTTATTGCGATTTACGTGTTGCTGCGTGAATGGTCTGTAGTTTTTCTAAATTTACACTACATCCAAGTCTTGTCGGTGATACAGGGTTTTGAACAGACTACAATATATATTTTTTGGGAAAGAAAGTTTTTGGCTTTCTACTACTCCATCTGATACAAAAAAAAATGGATGAGAGAATCTTCCAAAGAAAGGAAGGATTAATCAATTTGAAAATAAGTAACTCTATACATGGATGTGTAAATCATGCAAAGAAGTAACTTTCAGACACAAACTGAAATAAAGTCCTCCTGAAACAGCTACTTTCATATAAACATTGAATTACACGAAAGAAAAAATTCTTTCGAAACAAATACTTCTATATGAACACTGAATTGTACAGAAGATACTTCTCTCTATTCAGTTTGTATATCGAACATTCGTGGAGGAATAAGAATCAGATATCATTCACATGAGTTCTACTTTGAATGAATGGTAATAAATTGTACTCACATGGAACACTGTCACCCTAACTGGTATACACGTGTTTCGCCTTAAGACACTTGCCCTAAGGCTCTTCAGTACCAAATTGGATAACATTATAGAAAATACACACACTTCATTCATGAATTACGATTTTGAATGTCACGGAATAAGCTTGATCTGCTTATGTCATCGATGACATCGTAATGACATTCATTCACATTCATGAATGTCATTACGATGTCATTCACATTCATGAATGTCATTACGATGTCATCGATGACATAAGCAGATCAAGCTTATTCCGTGACATTCAAAATCGTAATTCATGAATGAAGTGTGTGTATTTTCTATAATGTTATCCAATTTGGTACTGAAGAGCCTTAGGGCAAGTGTCTTAAGGCGAAACACGTGTATACCAGTTAGGGTGACAGTGTTCCATGTGAGTACAATTTATTACCATTCATTCAAAGTAGAACTCATGTGAATGATATCTGATTCTTATTCCTCCACGAATGTTCGATATACAAACTGAATAGAGAAAAGTATCTTCTGTATAATTCAGTGTTCATATAGAAGTATTTGTTTCGAAAGAATTTTTTCTTTCGTGTAATTCAATGTTTATATGAAAGTAGCTGTTTCAGGAGGACTTTCTTTCAGTTTATGTCTGAAAGTTACTTCTTTGCATGATCTACACATCCATGTATAGAGTTACTTATTTTCAAATTGATTGATCCTTCCTTTCTTTGGAAGATTCTCTCATTCATTTTTTTGTATCAGATGGAGTAGTAGAAAGCCAAAAACTTTCTTTCCCAAAAAATTAATCACTCCTAAAAATATAACCCTTTCAAATCATACAATATATACTTTCATCAAATGAATATTTTTTGAAACAAATAAGTACGTGTCGCAAAAAAATATTTCATTCACTCATCAAAACATCGACTTGCATTGCACTGCAAAAATCACATCTTACATTTCAACAATAATGACAATACTCTTTCCAAGACTAGTTAGATCTAATATCTATTGTTGCATTCTGGAAATTTTCCGGAAAGTTCTGCTCAATTTCAGTTTTGGTTTCCGACTTCAGTTTCTGATACAACTCCATTAAAATATCCACCGTCTTGGAATTCAACACTCTGTCTTTCTCCAAGTTCTCCATATATTCTTCAAGATCACAATTTCTCATAATAGCGGAAGTGATGATTCTCTTTGTTTTGATAGGAAAATAAAACTTTGACGACGGTTTCGAAGAAGTATCTAGTACAGACATTGTCACTACGAAACCATTTCGTTCTGTGTACCAAATAAACTTGCCGTTACAAATGATATTTTTCGTTAGCTTCAAGTAAAATGCCTCATCTTGATGGTCATCATAGTAAAACAGATATTTCAGCCGCTTTTTCGGAAAGTCCCAGATGTCTGTGAATCCATAGAAAACTTTCTCCGCTGCTTTTTTGGGACATTTATCAACAGGTTTGCGGGTTATGTCCCAAACAACAGCGTAGTTGACACTTTCTTTAGGATCATAACAGAAACCTCTATCATACCTGCACAATGTTCCACTTCTCAATCGAATTTCATTACTGATGAGATCAGCTTTAGTGTCATATCCCTCCACAATGAGCTTGGACTCTTTAGAACCAGCTTCGATGTTGTCTCCCCATTTATCTTTCAAAACACCAAATCCAGAAGCTATCCTACAGTTTTTGCCTATATCGGAATATGACAGAAAGGAATGTTTACTGTATTTGAACTGGCAATGGAAGACTTTAACTTTTATTTCTTCAGCTAATCGGTAAATGTACACCTGGTTCCTTGTCACTTCTGGATTGTTACATGTCTCTGTGATGACAGTTCTTTGGTGGCCGAAGATGAAGCAGATGAATGTCAGGAATAGCTTCATCCTGCAATAAAAAATCCGTTATCGATGTGAATAGAATCCTGTGATATTGAAAGTTGGGTTGAATTGAAAGAGGTTTACTTTCGGGGGAGAATAATTTTTGGGATAATAGATTTCGATTTTCCACTTTTATATATTTATACAACAAAAAAAATCAACTTCAAAGTAAATTATCAGCAAAAATGTGTAGATCATTTGGGAGATAGAGCTAAACACATATTGGAATGCGCCAGCCGAGCACTGATAAGGTCTCAAATCAATTATCACCGTTGGAAGAGGTCAACTCTGATGCAGGATGCCACCGAAAGATTTGAAGAAATAAGAAGAGAGACCTTGGAAGAGGATCATGGACCAATCTTTGCCAAGATTGAAAGCACGTGCTTGAAGATCCGACAAGACATGGAGAATACCCATAACAGAAAGTGGGGAACGTTAGTGAGGAAACAGTGCCCAAATGCAAACCAAAAACAGGACAACTATGAAGCCGCTAACGTCATCAACATGCGTTCCCGCCCGCGCACGTATCTAGAGGAATCCTTGTTGAGATATGGTATAAACTTCGCCATTGCACCAATATCTGTGCCCACTTTGGAAACAATTACTGCAGTGAAATCCAACAGTTCCCTTATTGATCAAATCGAGGCAGGAGAATTCAGATGGAAAATCAGAGAACAGCTAGATCGAGGACCAGTTCCAACATCTAATATCAGAAATGAATAACGAATAGCTCTGAACTGGCTACGTAGAGACAACACCATCTGCAGATAAGGGAAACGCTACTGTTGTGATGGATACTGATCTCTACAAACAAAAGATCGAAGAGATGCTTCAGGAAGGAAAATACACGAAGATCGTAAGGGAATCTATTGCATCAATTGAAAAGAAGTTGTACCAGACGTTGAAAAAACACCAAGTCGATTTTTTGTAAAAAGATAGATCATCGCTAACACCGGACCACACTAATTCCCCTCACTTGTATGGACTACCCAAAATCCACAAGAAGGTTGTCTGCTCAGACCGATTATTAGCTCCAGCGATTCAGCGAGTCAGAACTTGTCCAGATTTTTACTACCAATAATTGAACCACTGCAAGGAAAAACATCATCTTTTGTGAAAAATTCCAGGCATTTTGTTGAACTACTAGGGGCAATCGAAGTCAAAGAGCAGAATCAACGGATCAGTTTCGAAGTGGAAAGTGTCTACACCAACGTCCCTGTCGAAGAAGCACTTCAAAACATACAGAGGAAGCTCATCGATACAAATAATCATAGAATTACTAGGATGCTGAGTACAAAACTGCTACTTCCAACTGAAGGATGAATTCTTCACGCAAGATGAGGGACTGCTAATATGATCGCAACTTTCACCGATTATGGCCAATATATATGTGGAGTGGTTGGAAAGTCTGGCCATTGAAGAAGCCCACAAGAAGTCCCGAGTCTGGTTGAGATACTTCGACAACACTTTTATAATATAGAACCATGGGAATGCAGAACTACACACCTTCCTGAAGCACGTCAACAATGTAAGCACATTCACAATAAAAAACGAAGTCCACAAAGAATTGCCTTTCGTAGATGTATTGGTGAAGAGAACATCTCTATTTCGAAAACCCACCCACACAAGACAGTGTCTGAACCAGAAATCCAACCACCATCAATCGACTATGAGAGGACTCTACTAGACCGTGCTTTCGGGCTCTTTGATACAAAGGAACGTGTCGAAAATTAAATAGGCAAAATGAAAAATGACCTTCAACAGAATGGCTACTCTACTATGATGGTGGACCAGGTTTAAGCTAAAAAACAGCAAGAGCTCCACAAGGGTAAGAAGCCGCCACAACCAATACTTGTACTTCCCTACATCAGAGAATCATCGGAAAGGATAAGACGGATTGCGTCCAAGTATGACATCAGAACCTGCTTCAGATCTGGTAACACTATCCGTAGCAGCCTCACGAAAACTAGGCCACCCAACGCGGACTGCGATTCCACGAATTACATTTACCGGATACCCTTCGAGTGCGGAGAATCATACATCGGTGAAACTAAGAGGTCATTGGAAGTTGCATTGCCGAGCACAAAAAACGCACACAGCGGGGAGAAACCAGCAAATCAGGAATAGCAGAGCATGTTTGGACTCATCAACATAACATCAATTGGGCTCAAGCTGAAATCATCCACAAGGAGAAACACTGGTTTAGGGGAAAATTCAAAGTAGCCGCATATATGTTGTACAACAACGCATTCAGCCAAGCTAACGTAGAGATACGTAACATATGGAAACCTCTAATCAAGCGGAACACGACTAACTCCCGCCCCAAGCGATCAGCTTCTGCTAAAACCGATGAAGTGGAGAGAGGAACGAAGGTATACGTGAAAGCACTCGAATGACCGATAAATAGTCAGTTATTTTTTGGTTGTTGCTTTTATTTTATTTCATTGTAATTTCAGTTTTTTTCCTTGATATAATTGTTATTTTTCAGCTAATCCTTTTTTACAGATTCTTTCACATAATTCAAATCAATTTATATTATATTAGACAATGTAAGTCCGAACTAATGAAATGCCTTATTCCTTTTCAGCAACAATGTGGACAACATTGCAAGATCGAACACCCAATTCGTTCATAAAATTATGATTTTATGTCATGAAGAGTAAAATTTCACTCACGTCTTCAAACCCAGCCATAGAAATTTTGTTAAAATTGAAAGCGGCATATGTTCATGTGAGATCAATTTTCGGAAAGGAAGATTTTGGCTTTCTTCTTCTCCACTTCTCCATCTTTATACAAAGAAATGTGGGAACTTCCAAAGAAAGGAAGGAAGCAATTAATTTCAAAATACATTCTTTCCAATGATAACTTGTTTTCAACATACAGTGTATTCCAGTTAAAACGGGTAACCCGAGTCGTTTGATATTGAAAAAATGTATGCTTTGGTTTTCAAAATGAAACAGAAGGTGAACCTGAAAACGCAATTCCAAAGTTTGAAATGTTCAAACTGAGCACTATTGATTCTAATGAAACAAGAATTTAGATGGGAACCTTAAATAATATGGTTCTGAATTTCACGATATACTTATTTGCTGAAGTTGTTGAACATCTGTTGAATTACCTTTCTGTTTTACGAAAAACGGATCATATACTTCATGAATGGATTGAAATAGTGGGTTTTTACTGTGAACATAAAAAATTTGCAAGGACCATTCATTGTTGATGTTTCAGCGAGAATGATCTGGACAGATAAATATAATGTTTTTTAAATAAGCAGAATGTTTTTTTTCACAATTATCATACATAATGTTGAAGAAATATAAATAGTTTTGTCGCCGCTTCAAATAATATACAAACACAAAAATTAGAAAAAAAATCAAAAGCTGTTTGTGAGGACTTCCAAAAAAGACTTCGATTCTAGTGATGAGTACAATCAAAATCTCGACTAATCAAGAGTAACAACAGAATAAACTAAAAATATTAGATATACGAAATTTCATACAGAAAACACTTAGCAATAGTGTTGAAATTTACTGGAAAGTATACCTGCGTAAATCCAGAATTGATAGGTAAAAAGATAATTACATGTATTTTATTGGAAAGTAAACTATAGATAACACAATGAAAACTTTCTGAATCATCACTGGGTAAAGTGAAGATTCAAGAAAATTTGCAGAGACTAAATTGATTCCTATTTGGGATCCATATTTGATCACAATATGGATATAATAATAAAATGATTTCACAAAATAGATTGTCATTTTATCAATAAAAATGATGATACATCAAAAAGGAAAAATTTATTAATTTCTCCAATTCAAATTGAATCAAAATCTTGTGAGGATTATGAACTATTATGAATTACTGATATAAAAACGTAAGTACCGACCTGAATATATAAAGTAGGTATCACTTGAGACTGAAGTACCGATCTTTATAATAATTGATTATATACTACGAGTATATATAAGTACGGCTTATCCCACGTTTTATTGGTTTCATGCAATGGTTAATGAAGGATATCGCTATCTCGTATAAACAACAAATTTCCACGGTGAAGATTTCCCATTGAGGTTGATATTGACGTTTTCTGTCGGTTAGTTATCAGCTAACTTTCGTGTAGTGGGAATTGCTGGTTTGTTGTATCCGAGACCTCAGGACAGTGAACTCAAAATACATAAAATAATACTTGCCAAGAAAGTCTACGCAAAAGCGATTCGAGACGTTTTTCCTATTGATAAGGTAGATAATCAAAATTATAGAGCTTTAACGTATTTGGAACAACCAACGGAAAAAGTGGCTTCATTTTTGAGGAAACGAGATATTAAAATTGCATATAGAACAAGTAACACGTTGGGAAAGTTAGTTAAAAATAATAAAGACAAAACATCTAAATTCGAGAAATCAGGAGTATATAACCTAAATTGTGGAACATGCTATGGTAATAAGGAAACAAATTCAACATATTCAAATCTAAAAGAAAGTCATATCTTTAACGAAAAATTCGAAATTTTGCACATAGAAAATGAAGGTTGAAAACAATGGAAATTAATAAATTTAAAAATTCAAACATTCTAATGAATGACCAACTAGATTTGAATAGATCACCACCATTTAACTTGTTTCCTTAAAAACCAAGAAAGAATTATTGTTGATGTAGATGTGAGGTAATATGCTTCAGGTGATCATAATTGAACAGGTATCTTAGATAAAGGTTTAGGTGATTTTTTGGAGGTAGTCTCAATTATGGTTACCTGTAGTATATAAATAATAATGTAAGAACAACTTGAAGTATTCAAATCACTTGACAAAGCTACTGTGCTAGCAAAACATGTTATGGCATCGGATGCCTGCTTCCACGTAGCCCCGCTGGATACGGGAATGACAGAATCACTGTTATTCCCCAACTGAATGGCATTTCAACGATGGCGTAATCCTAACGCTAGTTGCACACACACCGATTATGGACGGCCAGTATAAAATCGGCCGATATTTTATTGGTAGCGAGTGCTTGCATACTCACCGGATTTTTATCGGTCAAACAATCAGTTGCTTTGTTGTCGTAATTAGCACGCACTACCAAAACGAAGTTAATGCGTGGTAACTACAATTTCACCGAGCATTCGAGACTGGAATGGTCGGTAAAAAACCGGTGAGTATGCAAGAGTGTATTTAGTCATGTACGCCACTACTTCCCGGTACTGACGGCGATACAGTGGCAGTGGACGGCTGCTTAACGGTATTTTACCGGCGACGATCACCGGTTGGCGTGTGTGCTAGGTCCCGTTCCCACATGTGGTTCACTATTGGAATTTGGACGACCAGTACAAAGTCGGCCGTCCAAAATCGGTGTGTGTGCAACTAGCGTAACGCTAGTTTCACAGTGGCGTAACGCTAGTTGAACACTAGCGTAACGCTAGTTACGCCGATATTTTATTGGTAGCGGGTGCTTGCACACTCACCGGATGTTTATCGGTCAAACAATCAGTTGCTTCCTGTATAATATTAATTTGTGGTAGCGACTGTACTCAACGAAAGGCCATCATATGGTAAAGGGTTGTAAATGCCAAAACGATCATTTATTACCCTTTAATAGGGTTCAATTAGACCCTCAGTTTGTAGGTCACAGGAAAGTTTTATTTACCAGCTGGTGTCAGGAGCTTTTTAATTTGGTTTCGTCTCTCAACCGAAAGGTTTTCGTTACCCATTTAATAAGCTTGGATCAGTTAAATCAACGACTCAAAATTAAACGATTCATTTCCAAAACAAAAAACTGTAATCAAGTAGAAGTTTGGAACAGAAACAAATTATGTTGTTAACGAGAAACGTAATAATTTCGAAATGATTTATATAATTATAAATCCAACAATTCGCTCTGGAAGTTATTCATGGGTTTTTTTATATAAAGCTAACATTATAAATGGAACGAAAGTTATTTTCTGTGGAGTTAGAGTTTTTGTCGATTTTTCATGTAAATAAAATCACTAACTTGAATCACTTGAAAATATTAAAGAATAATGGAGAGCTGAATACAGATGTAGAAAGGGAAAACTTCTAGTTCGTACCGATAACACAGGTCTGCGATGAAAAAATTGCAGGATATTCAACTAGCGATTTTAACAGTATTTTGTGTGCAGATTACGGGAAAAATAGTAAAAACATTCTATCACCTATTGAAAAGCCACAAATTTCACCTGAAATTTTCTTATAAAATGGGTTTTTAGGTTCTTAGGTTCAGTATGAGTTCGATGTTTCTATATTATATAGCCTATATAAGCGGTAAATTGAGTGTGAATTATGGAGCTTTTATGACAAACAAGTTACTACACAATGTGAGTGTATATCTAAGATAAAATACGGTTTCAATCCATTTATTTCAACAACAAAACGAATCTAAACTGGAAAAATCTAGTTCCTACTGGAAAAAGTCATGTATGTTTCAGTCTGTTTGCCCCCTTCCTAAACCTACTGTTCCTCATGAACCTAACTTGCCTATTCCTTCACTTCTGGATAACTTGGACAACATTTTAGATGATTTAGACGCAAAAACACACAGTAGCACTAGTCACAGTGATGACAGCTACGTTCAAGGTACCAATGAACCTGAACTTTTCTCTCAATGAGACTCGAACGATTAGTACGAGATCTGGGCCTCCCAAAGGACTCAGCAGAAGTTTTATCGATTTTGATGAATCGATTTTCATCGATTAGCATTAGACAAAGAAGGAAACTGTTTCAAGTATCTTTCTGAAAAGTTTCTTGGTCTATACGATGCTAAACTAAAAGAAGGAGTCTTCGCCTGACATAAGAAAACTTTTAAAAGATGAAAGCTTTGTCACTAAAATGAAATGACTGGAATTCATTTAAACTTGTTTTAACAGGCTTTCTTGGAAACAAAAAAGACCCAAACTACAAAACTTTGGTTACTGAATTGATACAAAACTACAAAATGTTGGGCTGCAACATGAGTGTCAAAGTCTATTTCCTTCACTCACATCTGGACTACTTTCCCGAAAATCAAGGGGCTGTAAGTGAGGAACACGGAGAACGGTTCTATCAAGACATTATAGAAATGGAACGCAGATACCAAGG